GGGGGGGGGGGGGGGCTTTATTTTCAATATTACTTTTTCCTGATTTCAGTCTACCTGTGTCATTCAGATGTATATAAAAAAGCTTGTTGTATTAGGATAGTATAACCCAGTGCATGAGAGAAATGTTACGCTCATGCTTAGCCTGTGTAGAAGCAAAGCTGCCTGTTGGAGTAATGCTAGGTATTCAAATAGAACGGAGGGGAGCAAGCATTTTTGCAGGGGGCCCTCTTCTTATTTAGGTGACCTTTTAGTGAGAATCCGTCTACGGAGCTTTCGGCAGGGTCGTAACTACTGCGCGCTTCTGCGGCGCCTCGCATTGGAGGGGCTTAACCTGTTTTAGGGATGTTGAGGAATTAAGCCATGGGAAACTGGCAAGTCTCGTTTCTTCTCCTCATCCAGCCTAGGCACGATGCCGCCTCATGCCAAGCTGGGGCACTCAGTTTTAACTGAGTAGCCTGAACAAGGAGGCTGCCCGGGCACAAACGTGGTGGGGGCAGAAAAATGGGGTGGAACGGGATTGGGCCCAGCAGCGTCAGCCTCACCCAGGTCAGTCCCAGCTGTGTCAGTGGGTGCTCAACACCCCACTCCCTGCAGGACGGTGGGTCCAATGACTCATCGCGGGTTGGGTCCGTGCCTCCTGCCCAGAAGGGGCGGAGCCTCGGGCAGAAGAGGTGGGGCTACGGGCAGAAGAGGACGGGAAAGCCGGTGAGCATGCAGGTCAAAGAGAGACACGTGGGCTGTGTCTACACTGGGCCACTTATTCCGGAAAAGCGGCTGCTTTTCCGGAATAACTTGCCAGCTGTCTACACTGGCCCCTTGAATTTCCGGAAAAGCACTGATGATCTACTGTAAAATTGTCAGTGTTTTTCCGGAAAAACTATACTGCTCCCATTTGGGCAAAAGTCCTTTTCCGGAAAAACTGTTCCGGAAAAGGGCCAGTGTAGACAGCACAGTAGTCTTTTCCGCAAAAAAGCCCCGATCGCGAAAATGACGATCGGGGCTTTTTTGCGGAAAAGCGCGTCTACATTGGCCACAGACGCTTTTCCAGAAAAAGTGCTTTTCCGGAAAAGCATCCTGCCAATGTAGAAATGCTTTTTCCGGAAATACTTATAACGGAAAACTGTTCCGTTTTAAGCATTTCCGGAAAAGGGTGCCGGTGTAGACGTAGCCTTGGCGTGTGAAAGATAGGCTTTGTGAGACAGATTGAGTGCGTGGGGCAGTGTGCGCGTGACTGAGGGGGTCGGGGGGCAGAGACAGTGGGGCAGAGACAGGGGGTGCATGGCAGGCACAGAGCGTGTGTGTGCTGGAGAGTCTGTTGTCTCCTCTCCCTGCACTCCTCTGCACCTCTTACCCTCAAAGCTTGGAGCAGCTCTGCACCAGGATGCACCCGAACGTTTTCAAAAACCAGGCAACACGGGCGAAGTTGCGGGTACGTGCTGCGGATGGTGTGGTCCCAAAGTGAAATGTAACCGCTTAAACCAACAGTTTAAGTCTGCAACAGTGACCGGTTTGTTCCAGTGCAAAGCTGTGTTTGGGGATTAGAGACGGGTGTTTTTTTCTTAGACTCAGAGATGGGGTTTTGCGCTCTGCAGCAAACGTCATTACTGCGTTGATGAATGGAGTTCAGTCTACTGAATCTTTTATTCCCCTGTCCTGCCATGCACCAAATTAAACCCCAGGATTTACCCAGAAAAAAAATTATTTGTCGTGGTTTCCCACTGATTTTCACCTGCTTTTTGTGGTGGGAGCAATAAACACTGATTCCTAGTAAAAACGAAATCTCCTGTATATTTTAGAGAGTTTCTGTCTGTCTGTTCAAGAACTGCACCTAAATGGTAAGAGCTAGGACCACCAAATTTGGCAGGCAGCTTCCTCTTATGGTAATTGAAAGCAAAGTCAGAGTTTGGTTGTGCCAGGACAACGGGATGAGCCTGGAATGGGATTGCGTCTCATCAAACCATGCACAAAAGAGACAGAATCACCAGGCAGTTGAAAGGGACTGGCGCCCCCCCCCCCCCCCCCAATATGGGATTATCTCAGCCCCGAGCTTTCCACCTCAAGGTGCCCTTTAGGGAAGTCGGGGGGGCTGAAGCTCCCCACCCCTGATTCATTCATATAGGAACATTGCTAGCAGTTCCCCTTCGTCAGGGAGTGAGTGCAAAGTGCACAGTTTCCTGCATTCCTCAGTCTGGCTGGAGAGTACAGGGCGCAGAGAAACCTGGACCTGCCCCAGCTGGGAGACATGCACCTCTCCCGCGACTTCGCTCGCTGGAGCTGCAGTGACCATGGAGAGGAGCTTCTCACCTGGCCCCTAGCTGCTGCAGTGAGACAGGGCTGGGGCTTCTTCACGGAGCACACAATCAATCTGTGGAACTCCTTGCCAGAGGATGTGGTGAAGACTAGGACTTTAACAGGGTTCAAAAAAGAGCTGGATTAGTTCATGGAGGTTTGGTCCATCAATGGCTATTAGTCAGGATGGGTAGGAATGTTGTCCCCAGCCTCTGTTTGTCTGGAAATGAATGACAGAAGAGGGATCACGTAAGGATTCCCCGTTGTGTTCTCTCCCTTCGCGGCATCTGGCATTGGCCACTGTCGGCAGACAGGACACTGGGTTAGATGGACCTTTGCATGAGCGTAACCCACAAAAGCCAGTGGTGGGACTGGGACCTCTTTGAGCAGGGCATTGTGCTGGCCGTCTGCATGGGCAAGACACATACAAGTGGTGGGGGAAACTGAGGCATGAGTGTGGCCCTTCTTATGTTCTTATGAGTTGTACTCTCTCCTGGGGCAACGGCATCCTGACCCCCCTCTTCCCCAGCTCCGCCCCTGAGCCATGATTCAAATGAAGAAAAACAAACCTTGATCGAGTGAAGGACCCGCGCCACGCCGGGTTAATCTTCTAGTTTTTAAATAAAGCCCTCAACCAAAGGGCCCTGGGTACGTGTGAGGGATGGGAGCTACTTTTGCAAACGAGTGAGCCCCCCAGTGCAGAAACGCTCTTATGGAAGTGTTGCCTCGGATGGCGAAGTTAGGCCTCCGGGGCCGGGTGCTCTGTTTGCGAGGATTAATATTAGAAAGTGCTGTGAGAGCCTCTGATCGCTGGGGGTCTAGAATTCCAAGGTGTGTCTATTAGAACCCCCACAGGGGCGTGTTCCTGGTACTCTCTGTGTAAAGCCGCCATGTGCCAGTCCATGCGCCCCAGCTATTATTCAACCCATTGGACGGATCTTGTTGAGTGGCGCTTCGCTGGCGGCAGGATAGCCTAGTGGGTGGAGCATGTGACTTATGAGGAGAGGCTGAGGGATTTGGGCCGATTTAGTCTGCAGAAGAGAAGAGTGAGGGGGGATTTGGTAGCAGCCTTCAGCTACCAGAAGGGGGGCTCCAAAGAGGATGGAGAGAGGCTGTTCTCAGATGGTAGAACAAGGAGCAACAGTCTCAAGTTGCAGTGGGGGAGGTCTAGGTTGGATATTTGGACAAACTATTTCCCTAGGAGGTGGGGAAGCGCTGGGCTGGGTTCCCTAGGGAGGGGGTGGAATCTCCATCCCTAGAGGTGTTTAAGTCCCGGCTTGACAAAGCCCTGGCTGGGATGATTGAGTTGGGATTGGTCCTGCTTTTGTCAGGGGGTTGGACTTGATGACTCCTGAGGTCTCCTCTAACCCTAGGATTCTGTGATGGAGCACATAGCTGGAAGTTCTGGGTTCTAATCCCATCTCCATCACTGATCTGCAATGTGGCTTTGGGAAGTCACCACACCGTCCCGTGCCTCAGTTTCCCCCACCGCTTGTATGTGTCTTGCCTATGCAGATGGCCAGCGCAATGCTCTGCTCAAAAAGGTCCCAGTCCCGCCGCTGGCTTTTGTGGGTTATGCTCATGCAAACCGTCAATAATGAAAATACCAGTAGCATGTCTAGTCTGTTCTCGGCATCCTCTAATTTTACAGCTTGTTAAGAAAAATGTGACCAATCATAGAATACTAGGACTGGAAGGGACCTTGAGAGGTCATCGAGTCCAGTCCCCTGCCCTCATGGCAGGACCAGATACTGTCTAGACCATCCCTGATAGACATTTATCTAACCTGCTCTTAAATATCTCCACAGATGGGCTTACGTCTACACTGGCATGATTTTCCGGAAATGCTGTTAATGGAAAAGTTTTCCGTTAAAAGCATTTTCGGAAAAGAGCATCTAGATTGGCACGGACGCTTTTCCGCAAAAGCACTTTTTGTGGAGAAGTGTCCGTGCCAATCTAGACGTGCTTTTGCACAAAAAAGCCCCGATCGCCATTTTAGTCATCGGGGCTTTTTTGCGCAAAACAGCACTGTGCTGTCTACACTGGCCCTCTTGCTCAAATGATTTGCGCAAGAGGGCTTTTGCCTGAACGGGAGCAGCATAATATTTCCGCAAGAAGCACTGACAATCTTACATGAGATCGTCAGTGTTCTTGCGGAAATTCAAGCGGCCAGTGTAGACAGCTGGCAAGTTTTTCCGTAAAAGCAGATGGTTTTGCAGAAAAGCTTGCCAGTCTAGACACAGCCAACGAGATTCCACAACCTCCCTGGGCAATCCTGTTGGCCTGGCTGGCTTTGCTCCGTCGGAGCCCACGCTGCGTGTTTCGCCATGATATGCTAGTTTTGCGCGGAGCTGTTCTTCTTTCATTGCTTGATCTGGGACCTGAGCATGAAAATGCATTTTGCTTGCCGTGCTTTGCCGCATTCCTGGTAGAACCACCCACTGAGCGTGCTGCCCAGACTTTTTACCCGACTCAAAGACGCGTTGATTTAAGATCCCACTGGAGTTGTCTTGCAACTTTTCCGCAACCAGCGAGCACTTAGCAGGACTAGCGATGCCCCTGCCTTACGCCTTTGATTGGTGCTGCTCTTTCTTTTGCAGAGGTGAACTTGCACCATGACGGATAGCACCAAGTTGCCCGACGAGAAGGACATTGGGAATCATCACGAAACTGAGCAGACAGCATCTTCATCACTGAAGTCCAAGAATGACAGGAACAAGTAGGTACTTTCCAGCTCCAGCAATAATGGGCCATAACGTCATGAAATAGGGGTGACTTAAATTGGGGCTTTGAGAGCTAAGCGTGTTGGCCGGCCAGTGTCTCAATCCCATTGGACTCCTTGACAGTGTCGTTTGTTTAATTAAATATTTTTAAATGTGGGTCTGCAGCTTCTAGCTTCACTAGTATAAAATACACGAGCTTCTCCTACCTGTCACCTTTTGCTTAAGGGTTTAAATTGAAGGTTCTCAAACTGAAGGTTGAGAATCTCCATCCCTAGAGGTGTTTAAGTCCCGGCTTGACAAAGCCCTGGCTGGGATGATGGAGTTGGGGTTGGTGCTGCTTTGGGCAGGGGGCTGGACTTGATGACTCCTGAGGTCTCTTCCAGCTCTCGGATTTGATGATCCTTCAGAGGGTCACAAGGTTATGATGTGAAGGGAGTTGTGAGCTGCCAGCCTCCACCCCAAACCCGGCTTCACCTCCAGCATTGATAATAGTGTTAAATATTTGTAAAAGTGTTTTCAATGAGAAGGGGGTTGCACTCCTAGGTTTGCTGGGTGAGGGACCAGCAGGTCGCAAGTCTGAGAACCAGTGATATAAATGCTCAGCAATCACGACATGCAAAAAATGAACAGTGAATGGGCCACCTTGAGTCTGCCCCATGGGAGGCATTGCCTTGCCAAACCACCAGCCTGGCCCCACCCACACTCCGCCCCCAGAGTGCCTGCTGTAGGCGTTCTGGGGGCAGAGTGCTGCTGCCCCAGATCGCCTGTACTCCCCGTGTTTGGGGTGGTTTGGGCCATGCCGCTACCTCCCTCCCTGCTGCTCCTAGGGGCTGGGGAGGCTCAAGTCACAGCTGCCTCCCTCCATGTTGCTCCTGGGGGCTGGGGCGGCTTGGGCCGTGTGGCCGCCTCCCTCTCCGCAGCTCTGGCGATGCTGGGGTGCGCTCTTCCCTTCCCTGTGGTGGGGCGGGGCCTCAGCAGAGTGGGCAGGGCTGTGGGAGGGGCCTCTGCCCCTTTGTGCATCCTTCGTGGGCTGGTCCTTAATTCTGTGACTCTTCATTGTTCCTCACATGGAGCAGTTTCACCAACCCTCCCCCCCCCCACACACATTTTTTTGCTCCGCTAGCATGAGAGAAACCTGGATACAGCTGGTCGTATCTTCCCGACCAGTGACGAGCATCTGCTGTTATCAGCAAAGACAGTTTGTAAGGGGCTTTCCAGCAACAAACCGTGTGGACGCTTGCTTGTGACACCAGCAAGGAAGGTTCAGTGGGTCCGGGATTAGCCTGGGACTCTAATGGTGCAGTTCCCGGCTGTGACACAGACTTAAGGTGTAACCTTGGGCCAGTCACTTAGGATGTGTCCGCATTGCAGCGGGAGCTAAAACCGCCATCTCAGCTAGACGTACGTGGGGTGCTAAACGCAGCAGTGAGGTGTGGGTGGCCGGAGGGGCTACCCGCCCCAAGCAGGATGCCATTTGAGAAACCTAGGTACGTGCTTGGATGCTGGCCTATCCCACCGCCCGTGGCACTCTGGCTACCCGGCAGTTTTTAGCAGCTGCGTGTCTCCGGGGCTCAGTTACCCACCTGTTTAAAACAGAACATAAGAGCGGCCACCCCGGGTCAGACCAAAGGTCCATCCAACCCAGCATCCTGTCTGCCGACAGTGGCCCACGCCAGGAGGTTGAGGGGCATAGTCCCGTCGGTATCCCCGGGGGTTTGGTGAGGATTAAGGACGGGGAGCTACTCGGGTATTGTGCTAATGAGGCCATCCAGGATCATAGGCGTGGGAAGTAGAGGTGCCCCTGGGTTTTCCAACCGGCTTCTCCGTGCCTGGGAGCTGGCCCCTACCGGCTCTGCCAGCCCCAGCCTCCGGGCAGCCCCTCCCCTCCAGGAGCCTGCCGGCCCCACCGGCTTTGGCACCCCCTGGAAGCTCTGC